CTCTCCAAGCAGTCGCATGTCTATACCTCTGTCAACGACATCGACGTGTAGGCTAAACTGTGTGAGGGTAATCGGAATGGTTTCCCAACCTGATCGTTAAAGGGGAATGCCTCTGCATAACCTACCTGTTCCAAGCAGCTCTCAGCCAGCTTGGACGTAGAAGCTGCGCTTTATCAGTAAGTGAAGGAAATTCTGAGAAGAGGGACAGGGTAATCTTGACATCCCCGATACAAATGGGACCGGCAAACCATTTCACTATTCTGCCTTGAATGTCACCATGAGCTACAATTGTGAGATGGAGGGGAATGGTGACCACAGCAGCGGCGAAGAAATTCTTTAACTGAATAAAATGAATGGTTTTGTGTTGTATGGACGGATGTTCTCATTTACCGAGAACACTGGTTCGTTAGAATGGTTAGCCAATCTGTCGCAGACATCAACTCACATTAACACCCACAGAGTCTACCTGTGGTTCTCACTGTAACTATGTTGAGCGAACCAGTGTTACAGTTTCTTGGATAAAGCGTAGGCGAAGTGTACATATTATAGTACATTAGAACAATATTTAAGTAAGGAGATGGTAGTGTCATAGTACTCTTTTATATTAAACTAGCAACATTACCCGGCGTTGCCCGTGCTTGATTCAAAAATAGTACGACTCATACAGCAATCGCTATCACTTGACTTAAAATATTTTTGACCTTCCTTGCCTTTAAAGGAGTGCCCTTGCCGTGCTGATGTTGCTATATGCCTTACTTCTTGCCTATCTCACACTACGGATTTTTTCTAAGCTCTATACTAAACATTAAATCTGTTACGAAAAAAAGAACTAAACAAAATGAACACAAAACGATCAGTTTTAAAAAAGGACTCGTAACTGGAAAAACCGAATGAAAAAAGAATGTTAAAAACAAATACTTTTTTACACCCAACCCAGTTCTGCGGAATCAGAATCAACGTTGAGTTTAAGCAAGCGAATGAGCCAAATGGAGTAAAGTGCCATGCAGATTTAAATTTTTCCCACTTGTGACGAATGCAGCTATCGATTTTTTTGCATGCTAGCATGTCAGTTAACATTCGTGTCAGTCGGCTGTTGGCTCTCACGCTGGCCGATAGAATATTTCTGTCTATTCGCGGCCGCCAGCTATAGACTCTCACTCTGGCCAGTACAAAATGGCCGCAAACTACATGAAAACTGCCGTAGAAGCATGAAAAAATCGATTATTTCCACTATCGATGGGAGTTGGAAAATGTAAAATCGGTCTTGGCCTTTCCGATAACTTGGAGCATGTGCATGTAAATTTTGGTGCAAATCCGTCGAAAATTGCGACCGTGCATTCGTTACACACACACACACACACATCTAGATAGAGATACAAGTGCCGTCTGGAATAGTCATGCCGGTGGAAAATTGTCGACTTTCAAAATAGGCGCATATTTTTTCTTTGTAACAAATCTTGCTGTTAAAAATGTATCTGAAACTTCCATGGCATTATATTCGATCGATGTGAATTATTAAGGAACCAGCGATGAGATTGTTGAGAATGAATATTTAATGCATAAAATAAATGATGTTTTATCCTTAGGTTGCAGAAATGTTGATGTACTTAGGTTTATATAAGCGCAGATGTGTGGACAAATTACTTGACCATATGGTTACCTTTGAGAAAAACACATGACTGATAAACAAGATTTATTTTGGTAGCTACTGATATCTGTTATGAGAATATCTCGGAAGTAATCGGTATATTTCCTGTTTGTCTATTTTGTGGTCCAGTTTATGCCAATCGTGCGATTACAAGATAAACTGCCAACATGTCTTATCATTTTCTTGTCCAGACCAACAATCTCATATAGCCTCCTAACAACATTAAGACTCACAGACACCATCTTGCGTTTTCTTTCATTTCACGTTCTTGTTTCTTTTAGGGCAGTGGTTCTGAAACCGGAATACACGTATACCTGGAAGTATACGAAAGAAATACAGTGTGTATGGGATCAATTCTCTCGATGTCTTGCCACATTTTATGATTCTTATTTTATGTCCAATGTCATTTCAGGGTGTCGACAATTGTGTCTCTTTATAACACCCTTTTTCTTTGTATGCTTTTTGGTATCTTTTCCTCCCCCTTTTCGAATACACATTTACACAAGCTTATTAGACAGATTACTTGATATATCCATATGTTACTCTTACCTTCAATGTGTTCATTGAGTGTCAAATTCTCCCAGCCACCTTTCCTCATTATGTTAAATAACAGATTCGCCTATCGTCCGGTACACATTTCTCTCCGGTCTGTTGAACAGGAGTAGAGGTTTATCCCTTGTTTCGAGTTTAGGATTGTATATCCGGTTCCTTCTAAAATCGTCTCATTCTATTTCTCCCAGTAACCTCTTGCGTCTTAGTGCCAATTTTCGCCTTTATTGGGGTGAGTTGGTTAGAGAAATAAAAATACGAATCATGTAAGAAAACAATAACAAAGATAAGTATCTTCCTCCTGATTTTTTATGTGCCATCCTTTTATGACGTGAGCGATCATGGCTCTCCACAAATTCCTTAGCAATGTTTGTCCGCGTAGTATTATTCCCAGTCTCAGGTCTGCCATCCATTTGCGGTTTCACTCTGCTTCTCTTGTGTTCAGTCTGCCCTTTGAGTGTTAAATTCTCCACGTGCTCTTTCCTCAATATAATTTGTAGAAATTCTATCTGCATCGTTTTGGTTCTAAGACTACTATTATAAGGAAAGTGAACATAGAATCGGCTGTTACAGTGATAAAAACACTATAAAATATACGCGTATCGCCGACGCAGCCAATGAAAGATAAAACTCATAGAATTTAAAAAGTGATACACCAAAAATTACCACTATAAAATATATAATCGATCCACCTAACCAATGAAAAGAAAACAAGACACAATTTAAAAACTGAAACAAACTCCGCATTATTCTACTTAAAAAAATATTCTGATCAATCTAAATAACGATTTTTCTATGTGTTTATATCTCTGAGATGAGGTATTATGATTGATTACTCTATTTACATTATTCGAAAGGTGATTGGAATTTCGAATCGAACCACCCTTTACTTCGTCATTCGAAGTAGACTGTCCTAGTTCCACGTGCCATGCCCCTTCCGGATGTCTCAGTTATTTCGCTTTAACTCAACTCCGCAAGTGTTGGTTCACCACTGCTGTAGACAGATATTGAACTCACAACTCTTCGGGTCTAGTCACCTGAAGAAGGCCGGAGCGTACAGCGACCGAAACGTTGTGAATATGGCAATGAAAATGAGGATAACAGTCCGAACAATGTAACTAATACTGGAAAGAGTGGGAACAGCTACTGGACTTGAAAAGCTGTTTTCCCGAGAAATTGTTTTGAGGGAAAGATTTTTCAACTGGCAGTAGCATTAATATTGTTCTAGTTCCACGTGCCATGCCTCTTCTGAATGTCTCAGTTATTTCCCTTTAACTTAACTCTTCAATTTTTTTTTTTTTTGTTCAATAGTGCTGTAGCCTGGTATTGAACTCACAACTCTTTGGGTCTAGTCACTGGATCTAACCAACGTCTTTATCCATTTGGCTATGTTTCCTTGAGAAAATAAAAGGTTTGATTCGAAATTACAATCACATGAAGAAGGCCGGAGCGTACAACGGTCGAAACGTTGTGAATGTGGCAAAGAAGATGAGGGTAACAATCCGAATAATGTAAATAAAGTAATCAATGGGTTTTTTTTCGTCCCATATTTAATAATTCTGTCGGATTTAATCCATATTTCTAAGTCATATATCAGCTTACACAATTATTCAATGGCAGTGTAGTTCCCTCTTGACCAACATTTATTTTTATTTTTTCTCATTTTTTTTCCAAAAGCAACGAAGACTTCTAGCCCCTCACTTTAGTTTCACTCAAGTTATGCTTGAAGCTGATAGAATCATTACTTGATACTTGAGGTGAACAAGAACGGTCATTTGTCATTTATAGTGTCTTTGCTGACAGGGTAAAACAGATTCATATGTACTTGTCAAAGTAAATGACGATACCACTCGCCGTAAAAATTATGATGGACACTTTTTTTATGTGTCAAGTACTTTTAGGACCTGGAGCGATCATTGCTGTCTACAACTTCCTACTGGACACTGGGCGTGTTAAAACTTTATCGTAGTTACCCGCCCCTAGATTCAATCGTATATAAAATTGATTAATTAAGTAAAATAGCTATTGTATACAAAGGTGGACTTGGCCTTGATAACATAAGATCGGTAAAATCTTTTTTTATGGAGGGCCGGATCAATGTCAACACTATGCAAATTGGGTAGCATTACAATAACAAAAAATGTAACAACACAATAGTGTAAATAACAATCATATGTTTATTTGATTAGTAGAGTGATTCATTTTTATGGCTTATCAAACTTTTGCAGGTTATTTAAAGCCGGAAAGTTTTTTTACATTGTAAGATTTTTGTTCTTTGAGATAATAATGGTATAGTGACACATAGAAAATATGCACCCTTAGAAAAACGTAACCAGCACAGGACATGTCAAGAAAAAACATGAGACACAGAAGAAAAAAACCTATATATAAAAAGAAAATATGTACCCATAGAAAAACTTAACTCTAACAGGATATATCAAGAAAGAAAGTGGGACACAGAAGAAAAACCTATATATAAAAAGAAAATATGTACCCATAGAAAAACGTAACCCACACAGGACATATCGAGAAAGAACATGAGACACAGAAAAAAAAAACTATATATAAAAAGAAAAAAAAAGAAAAAAAACAGCATTCTGTTTTAGGCTTGAAAATTATTGTTTGATTCATTGTCTACGGCTTATCAACTCTTTGCAGGCTATTTAAAGCCAGAATTCTTTTTAGATTTTAGCTGGGGAGAGAAGAGGTGGTTTCAGCCCTTTCCCAAGTGTATTTGCGCGTCAACGAATAATAACGAACCCTCTTCGGTTAACAATTCCAGGCTATTATTCATTACACTGAGCTTACAACACCCGGTATACCCCAGCGGTTACCTGTCTAGGTACTGACCAGGCTTGACGTTGCTTAACTTCGGTGATCTTACGGAAACCGTTGTTTCAACGTGATGTAGACGTAAGCTTGATTAATAGACATATATCAGACGTAGAGACCCGAAATTTCTAGGACACCTAATGAGAAAGCAGAGCTTGAAAAAATTAACACTCACTGGACACATCGAAGGCGAAAGCGACATGGGTAGGAAGCGGGCTCCCTTCCTGACAAGTTTTTGTAAATGGATGGTGGAACAGGCGATGGAAGGGGCAGTAAAAAGACAAATATGAGGTTGTGGAGTGCCATGAACGCACATGTCCTGAAAGGACACGGCACATAGAAGAAGACATATTTTGAAGGTTATTTTGAATCCAGAAAATAGTTTTAGATTATAAGACTTTAAAAAAATAATAATGATTTAGTGATACAAGTTTTACATAACTGGGGCGTTGGTGGGTAGAAGAGTTGGATTTATACCTAATCAGAATTTGAAAAACTGACAAGAAATGATTATGTGGATATAAAGTGGGGGATCGATTCCATATAACAATCAATATAAAAATCGATCCCTCACTTTGTGGATACGACTGTTTTTATACATTTATATTCCAGAGATTGAAAATAAATTTAAAAGACTTGCCTGTGTAGCTAATCAGAATTTCATTGATTTGTTCGTTTTCTACGGTTTATCAACCTTTTGTAGGTTATTTAAAGCCACAAAATATTTTTAGATTGTAAATTTTTTTTTAGATAATAATCATTTAGTGATTACGAATTAACCCATTGTTGGGGAGAGATTCGTAGCTTTACACATATATATATAAGAAATTAATTTCATATTTAATACATTTATTATTATAAGTTTTGCGTTGTTGGGAAAGTTCCTTTTTATAACCAGGATTCAGTTAACTCTTTGATGCAAGAAATCAGTGATTCAAATCTGTTAACTGAGACCGATTTTGGATTTTGTTAATGAAAATAAAATAAATATTAAATGACGATGGTTTCTGTCTTGCTTCTTTTTTCCGTTTTTTTTTTCCGTTTTTTTCAAAGTGTAACCCAAAAAGTACACAGTTTATTTTAGTAGAGTTTAAAAATACGGGACGCAACAAATCAACATACAGGTCGCATATGACCCGCGGGTCGCAGTTTGCCCGGCACTGACATAAAACACAAAGATAACATCGTGTTGATGGCCGACACAAAAAGAAAACTGAACGAAATTGTTGACAAGGAAGTTAAAGAAAGCAAGAAGAAAAGACTATTAATTGTGAGAAAATTGAATGCCTAGTTTCCATTCAATACTTATCAAAATTGAGATGTAGCAGTGTGTGTGTGTGGTGGGGGCTTGGGGATCACGTACCATAGATTCGATGGCACAATACCCTTGCATCCGGTTCTGTCAGCTATAGAGACAGTTAAAGATGTATGATATATATTGGGGAGGTAAAAATGAAGCAGATACAAAAGTGTAATTATTTGGATTGTGGAAGACGACGGAAAACCTGTCACAGAGACCCGAAGTCGCAGAGGAATAGCAAAAAGAAGCCTTCCAGAAACAAAGCAAAGACTGCCGGAAGTCGCTATATCTGGCAACACATCAGGAGGATCGAGTCATGGCTGTCAGATAATTTCTGCAACCACAACACGACTTACATCTGGCCACCTAACTCCCAAGACTGCAACACCCTTGATTATTATGTGTGGGTTGCACTTGAGCGGGAGACCAACAAAACTCCTTGTCGCACCAAAGATTAACTGAATGCAAAGTTCATGGTGGTTGGAGTGGTCACTAGTGATGGCGACGTTATGCCTCCATTCATTTTCCCACGGGGTCTCAGACTCGGAGGCCTTCATGAAGTGTCTTGTGGAGGTAGTTCCGCCCTGAGTCAAGAGGGTGGCTGCTGGAAGACTCTATATCTAGTAACGCGACACTGCATTATGTCACACAAGTAGGAGAACGTAGTTATGGCTGTCAGACAATTTCTGCGACACACAACACTCTTTACAACTAGTTACCTAACTCCTCAGGCTGCAACCCCCTAATTGTTATGTGTTGGGTTGCAGTTGAGCCAGTGACCAACAAAACTCCTTAAGATTAACTGAAGGCAAGGATTATGGCAGCATTCCACCAATTTAAACAAGGAGACCATCCAGAAGAGTTGCAGGAGATTCTGAAGTCGTCTGGTGGCCGTGGTTGAAGCCGATGACGATTTTATTGAATAAATTTATCTTTTAGTATTTCAAGATATTTTTGTGTAATTTTGGTAAATATATCTGTCAAAACGATCACATTCTCTATAAAACCTGTTTCATTAAAAGCGGTCTGACAATTGACAAGGTACTTCTATTGTTTTAAAATTGTGTTTTTCTTGTACGCTATCAACACATTTCTTTTCTTTTTTTATCGCGTTGAAAAACTGTCCAAATGGTGTGTCGTTCGCTTTTGATTAATGTATTAGTCATTTCAAGGATGTTTTTACTAACGTTTACCAATATAAGGCCCAAAAGCCACTCATAGTAGAGTGCTAGTTGTGTGCGTTGTGTGCGTGGCAAGTGTAAGGGCGCAGTTTATGCGGATATGTGTGAAAGATAACGGTTAAACCTAGACTTGAAGAGGTTAAGATTGGAGTGATCGGGAAAGCATCCCCTTGGGATTCTTTTACATAAAACAACAATTTCTGCATATATTTCTGAGATAAGGTATTATGTACACTATTTACATTATTCGGACTATTGTCCATATCTTTGTTGCCAAACTTCATGAATTTAAATGTGCCACGAGGTCAGCATCTCAGCCCCACTCTTTCACTGTCGAAACGGTTAAATGTAGCCGCCTCTTCTACCCTCAATAGCGTCATGTGTCGCACTTCCCATCTGTGAAACTCCCTTCCTCTTACTTGCTTTCCTGATAGCTATAATCTCCAAGTATTCAAATGCAATGTCAATCGATATCTCCAGGTGCCATGATCTATTCCCCGTTCTTCTCTTCATCCTTTCCTCTCTCACGCCTCTTTATCCTTGCTCCCACTTCTGTAACCCCTCACGTGCTAGTGGCACTTCCGCTTTGTTTGGGGTAAAAAGTTTAAAAGAAAAGGAATGGCTGGAAAAAACGTTGTCTATTTGTCAATTGATTCAAATTTTATAAAATAGTAAATACTAAGGCTTTCATTATAGTTAGTTCACATATTTTCATAATTAATAATTGTTTATATGTTAGGAATAAAAAATGTTTTCATATTTATTTCTTTATAAATTAAAAGATGATAAATATTGCATTACATTAGTTTTTAATTATATAATTTTTTTAGAACGTTGGAAATGTAAAATTATTCTTGCAAATAAACAATCTAAGAAATAAATAGTGTTTAATATTTTTTCTGAGATGAGGTATTATGTACACCATTTACATTATTCAGACTATTGTCCTCATCTTCGTTGCCATATTTATCACAATGTTTCGACCGATGTACGCTCTGGCTTTCTTTAACTGGTTGGAATGTCGAACTGAACCCTTTATTTCGCTCATTGGGGTAGACTGTTCTAGTGCCATGTTTAATGGATGTCAGTCATCAGTTAATTTCCCTCTGAAAGATCTCCACTGCTGGGTTAGACTGTTCAATATGAGCACTGGTATAAAAAATGATTGCTGAAGACATTAAGTTTAAGTCCCAGAGATTCATACACAGATGTCTTCAAGGACACATGGCACAGTAGATAAAGGCGTTGGCTAGATCCAGTGACAGGACCCAAAGAGATGTGAGTTCAATACCTGGTTAAGGCAGTGGAGAACTTGGAGAGGGGAAATAACAAGAGATAAATGATAACTGACATCCATTAGACATGTGTAACTCGAACAGCCTACCTCAGCGAACGAAATAAAGGGTTCAGTTCGACATTCCAACCACCTGAAGAAGGCCAGAGCGTACATAGGTCGTAACGTTGTCATAAATATGGCAACAAAAATGAGGACAATAGTCCGAATAATGTAAAAACAACAGTTCTTAGGAAGAAGATATCCGAGTGAAAATTATGAATATGAAGGGTATGAGGATAGTTCGCCTAAATTGTACGCGGTGGGGCGGGTCTTAGTCTGGAAGGTTACAGTTGAAGGAACTAAGGAATGTAGCTCGTCTGAACATTGTCTATGAAAATAGAGATAGAATTGTAAGGTGGAAAACAATTCATCATCCGCAAGACCACCTAGATGCTTTGGGACTGGAAAGAATGTGTAGCTCCAGCCCAGATATGACAGCAATACTTCATTTTTGGCCTCTTCTTAATGCATGAAGAAGTCAGGTAGTTACTAGAACGGTATAGGGTACCGACTATTTTTACTGCATCTTACGAGTTGCGCTTGAAGTCTAGTCTGTGCTTAAGTTCCAATAGCTGTTCAAGACAAAAGGGCTCTTCTCAGAGAAAACCGGTTCATTGCAATACGGAAATTTAAGGGCTGATCGGTGATGGTGGAACGTCACAAATTTGGTTATTAATATACTGAATCCGGCCAGTCAGTTTTCCCCCATTGAGTTAGATCAGAGGATAGATTATCTGCCAGGCTGTGGTCAACTAGATTTTTGGAGGTGCAATCATATGCCATTATATATTCTTCATAGGTATTTACTAAAGATCGGAGTATTCTCTTAAGATGATAAGTTAATATTTTTTAAAATAATTTCACTACAAGCAAGGTGATAATGCCACTAAGACGCAAAGGGGGCTGCCGGAAGTGAAAGACAATGAGAAGCAACCGGAAACCCAATCCTAAACAAGAAACAAGGGATAAACTTGTTATTTATTTTATTATTCGGTCGAGTTACCTCGGGCATTCATGAATCTATCACGCCAACCATCACACAGGCTCGCATCAATGTCGGAAGATCTTTAGGTTGGCATTCTGTGTCAATGTAGATGGTTGTTTGGCGACTACCTCTAGGCGAGACGTCCATAGCAGTAGATCACTTGCGATTTTTTGTCTTGCAGCAGTGTCTTGCAAAGCGCATTCTACGTCCGCGTAAGATTGTAGAGAATCTGTCTATATTTTTGAGATTTACATTTACATTTGCTAGGCCACAAAAATCTC